TTGGGAATATTTGCGAATTTATTAGATTTTGGTTGTGGGCAAGAAACTGTCTGGACAATATAAATATTGTCATTGTGGGAATAATTGGGTGTTATATGTACTTCATATATTGTTGGATAAACATCCAAATTCAGGATGTTATGACCAATAAAAAAAATTGTAAATGTTTTTTTTCTAAAAGTCTTCCTAAAGGCAAAGATTGTTCAAAATAAAACATTGCTCTTTCTCCTATGTATGTAAAAAGTTTCTTGAATATATTGAGTGACCCAAATGTTGCTTTGATTAGTTCATGTCTTTTGAAAACAGCAAAGACCGTTCTGATATTCACTGTGGGAATCCGTGTTTAGTGCTCCTGTGGTTTTAAAGAAGCCAGGAGGTTTTCTCTTGGCTGACTGTGCAAAATCTGCCTTGTTTGCCTTTAATTGGTCCTCCTCTGGGACATTTTTAGCTCGAGCCGACCACCTACTAGGCTGTTGCATCTGATCTTCTATTAAATTATGAGCTGGTGACTATGTCAACAATAACTGCACAGTCTACACCAATCTCTGGGTAACACCTGAAGGATAATAAAGACAGACTGGATTGTTTAGGGAATATGTTCAACACAAGGAGATTTCATTGTCTCCTGACACTCATAAATTGCACATCACAAAGATTTTAAAATGTTTAAGTTCTGTCTAAGATTTGACAGTAAAAGATTAGAGGGGGTCTTTAAATGTGATAATATATAGATCATTGTGATCAAAATGAAAACAAATGCTGTCTGGTCAACATGTGTGAACTTTGCCATCCGACTGAGGACAAAAAGAGCTGATAAGCTGAATAGGAGAGAACATGTTATGATGCCAATGTAACAACATGGTAAATAGCCTGGACTGATGTCTGCAAAGCCTTTATTCATGAACTAATTCACACACAGATGGTGGTAAACTACACGGTAGCCACAGCTGCTCTGGGACACACTGAAAGGAGCCATACTGTCAAACACCATCGGATCCTCTGTGGGTCATGTGTTGTGTTCAAGGACACAAAGACTGAGACGGATGGGGCAGGGACTTAAACCAGAAACCTTTTAGTTACAGAATAAACTCCTACGTCACCCTAATATTTCTAGCCTTTTTAGGCTGATCAAAGCCTATGACGGTGCTGCAGAAGAGAGTGGGAAAATATTCTCTCTTTTTCAATAAATTCAATTCAATTCAGTTTATTTATATAGCGCCAATTCACAGCACAAGTCATTTAAAGGCACTTTACAGTTCAACCAGATCATGCAAACATAATAGCAATATCTTTGTATAAACACAATAAACAATTATAAATATCTTAATTTTTTAATGGAATACACATATTCCAAAACAATTTTAGGACTCAACATATGAAGTGATTTTTAATCTGAAACATCGGAAATTCCACAATCCTACTGTTCTTTTTTGTTCCTTGATATCCAACCTGAATGTAAGAGGTAACTGTGTCTTTCTTATATTGTCTTCCAGGTCTCCAGTGATGGCTGGTGGGTTGTTTGCTGTGGACAGAAAATGGTTCTGGGAACTGGGAGGGTACGACACAGGACTGGAAATATGGGGAGGAGAACAGTATGAGATCTCATTCAAGGTAAAAAAAACAAACAAATAGTTTTCCCCACAAACCTTTCAAAATAGTTTTCCTTCTCAGTTCTGCCTTCACATTTACTCAGAGGAAGTAGAGATATAAACAGAACATTAACTTTCTTTTCCATAAAAGTTATTGGATCTAATTTCTGGTATGTTTGGGTTCTTTTTCAGTCTGGAAGAACATTCTGAGTCTGAACCTTAACTTAGTGGCTGTAGATTTACAGTATTGCTTCTGTTCGAACAAACTGCTTATATCAATCAGGCCTTTTTTATTTATTGTTGCCTATGGAAGTAAATCTGTGCCGCTGGGATATAAATTAAAAATGTCACTGAAATATAAATGTTGTATGTGTCATGATGGGTATCTGAATTAAGCCCAAAATGCAGAACACACACGGAAACTGGGTAAAAGTTCAACAGAGTTTATTAGCACAAGCACAAGGAATGAAACACTGGAACTGATTCAGGGCTGGTTCACTAAAGTCTTGACTGGGACTGGAGACTGTTGGTTAGCAGAGTTCATGGGAAGCTAA